GGGGCGGTGGCCCCCACCCCCACTCAAGCACAGCTCCCGCCTTGGCGAGGAACCTCCTCTGTAGGCACAGCGGCCGGCCAGTGAGCCAATGGGCGGCACTTAAGGCCCCTCCCAGGTAAGACCCTTAGTACTCCCTGGTAGTCTCTCTCCTGGGACTCAGGCCTCCTCCAGGAAGGCTATCCTGATTGCCCTGCCCCCGCCTCAGGCTGAGTGACCCTGTCCTTGCCTCATTTGCACACCCCCCTCCCCCCAGCAAGAGATCCCTAAAGGTCCCTAATAGGGCTGGGGAAGAGACCCACCCCTGCCCCTCCCAGGGCCACCCTACTGCACCCGTGATTGCCTGCCCTGCAGAAGTATGCCTGCAGCCCAGGGCATGTGGGACTGGAGATGGTGCAGGTTCTGGAGGGTCCAAGTCCAGACAGCAGGTGGGCGCCCCGCAGTAGCTGAGAGCACCCACCTGCCCCTCCCCTAGAAAAAAGCAGACGTAGAGCCAGGCCCGTGGACTCTGGACTCGGCTGGGGTCCTGGACACTGCACACGCCTAGGCTGCTCCTGCAGGCCAGGCCTCAGCCTCAACCCGCTCAGTGGCAGGTGGTCACACTGAGTCGCGTCAGAAGTGCAGGTTCTCTGCTGGGCAGTGGGCAGGTGTCCGAGCACTGCCCACAGTGGGACTCAGCTTGCCTGCCACAGGGCCTCCATAGACGGAGGCTCCCAGTCAGGCCTGGCCAGAATGGCCTCCCAGAGACCGGGGACAAGGGACAGAGAAGTATGGGAGTTAGCCTAACACCGAGACAGAAGGCATGTTTGGTAGATTTAAGAAACAGTCCTCAGACTGAGACAGAAAGGCGAGTGCAGTTTAATCAGGAACTTGAGCGCTTCTGCAGGGACAGAGGGGGCCCGGCCACTCCCAGTCCACCCACCTCCAGCTGAAGCCTTGCCTTCGGGTCTCCAGTGCCCACTGGTCACCAGGACCAGTCTGGGGTGGAACCCTGAGAATCCCAGCTGGGTCTCTGGTGCCCTCGGGGCCCTCAGCCTCGACACACACTGCCTGCAGCTGGGGCTGGGCTCCCCCACTACAGATGGGGTGCAAGGGCCACCTGCCAGTGGAGTCTGCCCCTGGTGCACGGCCCTGCAGAGGGGCTCATCGGCTCTTCCCCAGGGCCCTGCACAGTAAGAGGCCGAGTATGGCGGCTACGGCGGCACTGACGAGGCCCAGTGTTCTCCAGAGCCGGGAAGGTGGCGGGTACAGGTCTGCGTGGACCAGGTGTCTGCAGGAGAGGAGGTGGTCTGCAGGTGTCCATGCTGGCCAGTGCCAAGGCTCCAGAGGGCCACACAGGCAACCCCGACCCTGCTCCAGCCCCCATATCATGGCCACCATGCCACTTGGTGGCAGACTGTCCATGCCCTGGGATGGGCCAGCCTGCTCTCCCCCCAAGGGCATGATGCCCAGTACCCACGGGAAGGTGGCCATGGTGGCAAGCCGGGTGAAGACCGCGGTGCTGGGCTCTGTGGGGCCTGCGCAAGAAAACGGGGCCGGGGCGGGCAGCCGGTGCCTACGGCAGAACTCCAATGGGGCCAGGCCAGGCGGGGCGGCACCCTCAGGCAGGTCGGCCTTGGCGGAGACGAAGAGGCAGGGGGTCTGGCTGTCCATGTAGTGGCGCTGTGGGGGACGGGCACATGAGGGCACAGCACAGACCAGCCCGTGGAGCCACAGCCGTCTGCCCCCTGGGCCCCCGCCCTGCCTTGTAGAGACTGGCACAGTGCACAAAGGACTGGGGGTCGCTGCTGTCGAACATCAGGCAAGCGACGTCACAGGTGGCGTCCAGCTGGCTGTCCACTCCCACCTCGCAGAGCTGGGACAGACACTGGGCTCAGGGTGGCGTCCCGGGGAGGAGTGTGGCGCCGGGTCCCAGGGCGCCCCCGCCACACTCACAATCAGGTACTTCTCCTGCCCGTTGACCTGCACAGTGCTGATGGCGTAGGGAGGTCCCCCGGAGGACGCTCCGGTGTCCTGGTGCTGAGGGGAAGAAGAGGACAGTGTGATCTCCCTGGAGGCCCACGTGGGCCTGGGTGTCCACGGTGCTCACCTCCAGGCTGCGGCCGAGGAAGGCCTGAAGGAAGGCCGATTTGCCCACGCCTTGGGCCCCCATCACCCGGCACATGAGGACACTGCGCTGCGTCTGTCCTTTTTCCTGGTCCAGCCTCCTCTCACGAGTGACTGCAGGACAGGCCTGGGTGAGGGCAGCTGCCAGGAGGGCTGGGTCCAGGCCCGGACAGGGTGGTGCCCACCGGTGATGGCCTGGAAGTCCTGCTCACAGAGGGTGGGGTAGCCCAGAAGGCCCGGACAGGGTGGTGCCCACCTGTGATGGCCTGGGCCTGGGAGTCCTGCTCGCAGAGGGTGGGGTAGCCCAGGTAGCCGAGGTGGCTGAGGCAGAGCTGGACGTCCAGGTACGCCACCAAGCTGAGCGGGCAGCAGGCACAGCATTGCGGTGGGCAGGCTGGGCGCGGAGCAGGGCGTCCCCAGGCCAGCAGTGGGCAGCAGGGCCATGCTTACGTCCACTGGCAGAGGTATCCGTGCAAGGGCAGCCGGCCGGCCTTGGTGCGGACCCTGTGCCAGAGCTCGGGGCCCCAGGGGTCCGCCGGGAACACACGGAAGAGGCTCTGCAGCTCCTCAGGCGAGAGGGCGCCATCCTGGTCCTGGGTGCAGAGAGCCTGTGGGCGCGTGCAGGAGGGGCGGAGGTGCGGGGTGCAGGGTGCAGGGGCGCAGGCTCACCTGGTCATGCTGCTCAAACACCCGCTGCACGAACTGCTGGCCCAGGTAGCTGAGCTCCGTGCTGCAGCCCGGGGGTACGTGGAGCCTGCGGGTTCGTGACAGGCCCACCCACTGCCTGGGAGTCCTGGGACAGACCAGGCACCCCACACCCCGGGGTCTGCACAGCAGGACCCTCCCTGGGGGCCCTGAGGCTCCTGAGCCACCCTACCCCGCTGCAGCAGGGTCCCCTGTGCAGGCCTGGCCCAGTGTTGCGCAGCTGCTCGGTGCAGCCAGGCGGGGTGGCCTGTGCGGGGAGCGCCCTAGACACACCCAACCGGGCGGCCCCACTCACGGTGGGAAGAGGTAGTCGGCCGTCAGCTCCAGTGAGTCGCTGTAGCCGAAGCGCCGCAAGATGGTCCACGTGGTCTCGTGGCGGGGGGGGGGGGGGGGG